TTTAAAATGTTCTATTACTAATATAATTATTTTTTTACATGAAAAAAATTAAGAATTTATATGAGATTATAGACTATGTTACAAAAGATATGGTATACGAAAAGGCTTGAGGCAAAATACGCAATTATCTTCTAAATGAATTTTTTTGTATACATTTTGCTGCAAAGTTTACTTTGTGTTATATTCTTTTATTGTTTAGCTTTAAACATGTTTATTCTCAAAATTCAAGTTTTGATTATGTTGTTTTTAATGTGTTAAAAAAAAATATTATATTGTTTAACTAATATTATATTATTTAAAAACTAATAAGAAAATATTCCATTTAGATATATTTATAAAATTTTTATATTTAAATATTATTCCAATGTCTATTCAATATCTATGCTAAAAATAACCACTAATGTGATCTATGCTTTATATTCTAAGATTTTATGTGGATTTCAATATTAATTAAAGACAAAAAAGATATCTATTATTTTAAAATTTCATTTTACAATTTTCAAGTTATAATCGTATCTTTTGAAGCATAACTGTTTATTTTTTTAAACTTATGCTGTTTCTTGTTTTTAATATTTATATGTTACATACATTTTCAAATGCTAGATATATACTATGTATAATATCAATGCCTCCAATTTCCTCAATCCAAATAATATTTTAAACTTTTCTTCTGCTACTTTTTATTTTTTATTGACGTTATATTTTTTCTATGAAAATATTGTATCTATAGGAATACATATTACTAGACAGCGTTTTAAGTATCATTTTAATCAAGGTTTCTGCACCAAAAGCAAAGTGCAGCGTATCTGCAGTACAGGGGATTGGTTTCAAAATTACGTGCGGAGAAGCCAGATAAGGATAAGAAGAACAGTGGTGCAGAATTATATTGTCCTGAAGAAGCTCTTAGTGACAATGACGAGGATAAATCTCAGAAATCTCATTCAACTTTACATGGTGAATATAACTACATATATACATATTCAATGACATGTAACACAAGTTTTATTAATACATGTTTTATATATGCTATTGTTAGCAGATCAGTTAAAGGACGATAATAAGGAAGAACGGAAAAGAAGAAAACGTAGTCGCTGGGGTGATGCAGACAATAAGGTTCTCGTTACAGAAACAAATGTACCTTCTGGTAATAGATCAGGTGCTGTACTTCCACAACCTGGCATAGCTATACCGGGACAAATTGGACAACCTGCAGTCATAATACCTTCTCCATCAAAGAGACAACATGTTAAATCAAAAAATCCAATGCTTACCAAGATTTCACGCAATGATCCTGCACTTATCCATTATGCGAAACAGACATTTGGCACACTCGATTTAAGCGAAGAACAGTGGAAAAAGGCAGAGGATCATTTTAAGGTAGATTATTGTTACGTTAATTATAAAAGATATACACACAAAGTATATTAAAATTTATTCTCTTTATCTGATTATATTATATATATACATAAAAATATATAAAAGTAAATTTTAAGGATTAATTATAATTTTGTGCACAAAAAAGATATAAATAATTTTTTTTTAGATAAATCTTTTATATCAAAATCTCTTAAGGAAAAGAGAAGAAGTGAAACGTTTGGAAGCACAAGGGAAACATAAATATGAGTACGATAGCGACGAAGAAACAGAAGGAGGAACTTGGGAACACAAATTGAGGTCCGCTGAAATGGAAGCGACACAGATGTGGGCCGAGGAATTAACTGCGCAAGCGGAAGGCAAACATCATATTGGCGATTTTCTGCCACCAGATGAATTAAAAAAATTTATGGAGCAATATAATGCTGTAAAGCAAGGCAAAGAACCCGACTTGAGTGACTATAAAGAATACAAATTAAAGGAAGATAATATAGGTAGGTTCCAAAAAAGTTTTTTCTTGTTTTTTCTCTATCAATATTATATTTATACAATAAATATAGCGATTAAACTTACGTAACAAATAAATTTGATTATATCCTATTGAGAACTTAACTATTTACTATTTATTAAATTGACAAATATATTTCAAGTCAAATGCTAACAAAAATAATTTCTGAATTTTTTGTTAAAAATTATTTTAATTATTTCAATTGAATTTCATAAGTTTTTTTTACTTTACAGGATTTCAGATGTTACAAAAACTAGGATGGAGCGAAGGACAAGGGTTGGGCAGTGAGGGTAGCGGTCGTATTGAACCAATTAACAAGTAATGCCTTTTACATTATTTTCTTCATGTTGAATATGTTTGTCTAATATTTTCAAGTTGTTATAATCAATGTTTCTAGAGCGACAAATAGACTTGATAGTGCTGGTCTAGGATCTGAAAGACCAGATGGAGTATCTAGAGATGATGATGAATTTGATGCATATAGAAAACGGATGATGCTCGCGTATAGATTTAGGCCTAATCCATTAGTAAGTATCGCGATTTTTACAATAAAAAATAAAAGTAGTTAAGTTAAAATATCCAACAGCTTATTTTAATTATTACATTTTCTTTTTTAGAATAATCCAAGAAGACCTTATTACTAAGAGCTAAAATACATTGTCACTAAATTAGTATTCCTTTTATTACTGAACAATGTAGTAGATGCCTTTATTTTGTATATTTGAAATTGTATATTTCATTTTAAAATATATCTCTTATACACAATTTCCATTTTTCTGAGTAAAATTATTTATAAAATTAGTATAAAAATTAGTATTGAAGTTTGAATACATTCAAACAATGAAAAAATATATATGAGCAAAAATTTATTTTGTTCACTATTTGTACATTCTTTGTACTCATTTGTGCACTTTTTCTATTTTACACTATTTTTTGTACTTTAACGTAAAAGAACATCACTAAATCGCATTATTTTTCGGCAAATTCTTTGCGATTGAAATAAAATTTTTTGCAAAAAAAAAAATTATTTAATATTATTTTAAATAAATATATAAAATGAAGCTCGAAAGCATCTATCAGTGAAATGTAAAAGAGCCCATCGGAGCCTACACCAGCTGTTTAGATGCACAGAAAATTCTTTATTTTCATGTGAATGTAACAATACGAATAAAATAAACGTTTCGACCCTTCAATTCGGGTCCTTATCAATATAAATTATAAACAGACATAAGTAACGCCAAGTAATTCCAAGTTGATGATTCTCGACAATTTAGTTCGTTCTTCTTTACCCAAATACCAAATTAACTATGTAATGAATAGCCCAATGATTATCAAAATATTAACTTATACAAACATAATATAAAAACTTACATAAAATACAACCGAAATTATATATATTGCATCACTAAGTAGAATCACATTGCTCATCAGATTGTCAGATTTGTGTAGTCATTTAAAAGAAACACGAAAACGAAAAATTAGAAAATTTTTAAAAATCATTTGTCTGAATTTTAATTATATCAACTTACATGTAAGCGTTTTCTCGCGACTTAACGTAAAGGTCTTGTGGTGTCGATAGTCAGAGATAGAACGAGAGTCAAAATAATAAAGTCATAAAGTTATTGAAAATAAAAATAAGGACAAGGGAGGATAAAATCAATGTCACAATTCCGTAAACAAATTCATGTATAGTGGATCTAAAGAATACGTATCATTCTGTAAATTCAAACTCTGTTTTTATTGCTTTATATGTATCGCTTCCGAAATCAGTCTTTTATTAAGTACCTTTTCTTCGTCTAATATCTTGACATTTTCCCAATCAAAATCATGCTGATGACTAATTCTGTGTTCTGTTACTACGGAATGCTGTGTAGTATTTCAATTTATGTGATTTTTATGTTCATTTATGCGTGTTTCCAAACATCTACCTGTTTAGCCCACATATGATGCTTCACAATCTCGACAATCAATTTTGTATACAACGTGTGAGATAGCTTGGGACGTATGTGTTTATGACCCCTCATGAACCCCCCCCCTCCCCCAAATTATTAATCCCTTTATGTGCCAAGTGTATTAAGGATTTTTAAAAAATTTTTGGAACTTTTCTGATAAAAGTGATATAAAAGGAATTGTAAAGAACTTGTAATTAATTTTATCTTCATTACTGACTGTTTGTCTTATCCAGTGTGTTACCCTGGTCATTCCATTGTTTAAATTTCTTTGACAACCTATTTTTAATTTCAGATATATGGGTATTGTTACATTCACACGAAAATATAGAATTTTCTGTGCACCTGAACAGCTGATGTAGGCTCTGATGGGTTTTTTTACATTTCACTAATATTATTTTTTTATAAATATCTCTTATGAGGATCTTAAATAAATTTTGGTTTATTAAAAATCACTGCAATACCTATGTGTGATATTTTAAATAGCACATCAGAAATGTCGAAAAAAGTTAAATATTAAGTGTTTGAATAAGTTTCTCTCGTTTTCTAAGACGTCACGAGTACTAGGTGCATAGAATTCTTCTAGTGATAAGTATTGTATTTGAGAGAGAGAGAGAGAGAGAGAGAGAGAGAGAGAGAGAGAGAGAGAGAGAGAGAGAGAGAGTATTATACATAAACTTTTATATTTAGTATATGACATTTAATAGACGTGTAAACAACATTTTTGTCATTGCATTGAAAACGGCTTTTGTGCTAATAAAATAGCATTTGCGACAAGTTTTAAGCATTGCTTTATTGTTAAGAAAACTGCAGTTGAAAATTATCGTTTGCTTGTGGAGATGATAGAGAGCATGCTCCATCCGAAAGAGTGGTTTCAACGCTTTAGAAGTGATGATTTCGATAAAAGATAAAGAACGTGAAGATGCACCGAAAAATTGAAAGATGAACAACTGGAAGCACACACATTATTTAATGAAAATATCAAATATCAAATGCTGAAAGAATTAGAGGCATTAAATATTGATTAATCAACTGTTAGTTGAAACGTTTAAAAAAACCGGCGTAAATTTATTCAAACACTTAATATATACACAATTTTCATATTTACGTATGTAAATAAGTCATTACTAATGAAATTCCTCTAATCTATTAAAATAAAATAAGCTTGTAATACTACAGCTATACTGATTTCTAAGTTTAATACATAATATTTTACTTTTGTGACTCCAAGATTTTCCTTTGGCATTCGCAATATTATTATGAAAATATTACTTTATATATAATTTCTGTCGACGAGATCTTTAAAAGTACCTATTAACATACTTCTATAAAAGCTATCATTTTCTATTCTTTCTTGAAGTATATCACTGTCATATGTATCTTTTATTTCTACATTACCGGTAAATATATGCATAGTGAAAGTAGCCATTCCTGCTGCGTATTTTCCAAATTTAGTAAGATGTTCAGATAATACTTCGTAAGGAAAAAGGACATCAGGATCATAACCGGCTCTTTCGATAGACCTGGATAGCGTTTCATAATATTCGTGTATTACTTGGTCGAAATATTTACTTCGTGTTTCTTGCGTGCAGCAGCAGAAAAGTATATAAACTAGATCTAAGACAGGAGATGCGTAACGACATAGCTGAAGATCTACAAAACGCAAGTCGTACGGATTGTTCTCCTAAAATGAAATGACGTATAAGACATCGTGTATTTATATATATATATGAATTTAACGCAAATCTTAAGCTGCTATACGACATATATCCAATTGTGTTTACATACTTCGTCGTATTTGAAGAGCATGTTGTTGGTCCAAGCATCACCATGATTTACAACGGCGTATGGCTCAGCAGCTTTTCCATCAACTGCATCGCATATGTTTTGCAGAATATTTTCTACGAATCGTTGGTATCTTTCGGAATAATGTTTATCTTCATTCGCTAAAGCCTAGTGCGTGACATCAAAAAGAAAAAAATAAATTAAATTCGATGAATATCGATGATCTTTGAGGATCAAAATGCCAAAGTACCTTGAAAACGAGTTCAATAACCATTTTTAAATACTTCTCCGTATTATTCGTATTACCAGCAAATCGTTTATTAAACATGTGTTCTTCCATCTTTAATTTCTCGAAGCTCGTTGGGTTCGCAACACGCGTAATGAAGCTGTATGCGTGAAATTCACCTAAGCATCGTAACGCCAAGCTGAGATGAGGATAATCCAAAATTTTTGACTTGGCCATCACGAAACCTTGAGGCGATAGATTTTCTAACATCAGTATCTACGATAAATTATCCAAGCGTTTATCTCTTTATCGTTTTAGAGTATTCTTTGGAAAAGATACAAATCTAATCTCGGTAATCGTGCTGCATGAGGAATAAACGTGAAAGTTTATCATGTTATGAGATAGCTGAGGATGATAATCGCATAATGTTGTCGAGTCATGTCATCTTACGAGTGGATACTCATGGTTGTTTATATTGATGAATAAGATTCGAGTGCCTTGATCTTCATGTGTGTATATGCATAGACATGATAAAACCAAAGTAAATTCCTTATCAAAAAAGCAGCAGCAAATTACAATGAATTACAAAATAGGTTTTTTTTTTTTTTGCTCTGAGACCTTATCGTTAGGCATATATGTATATAAATCAAGATATCTTATTAGATGAAATACTAAAGTTACACATTGTGCAAGATGAGATAAGATAAGGATACCTATTAGAAGATAATTATACTTTAATTGATATTTTTCCCGCCATGCGTAGTGTTCTTCCATTAAAATGTCAGGGATATATTACGTGTGGAAGTTACGTACTAAAGAATCAAGTCTCTTTATAAAGAAGTGTATGTACGTGTACTTTCGCGAGCCATCTAATTATCAGACACTTTACTCCATACTCCTACCGCATGCCTAACATTGATTACATCGGCTCTTACTGCTAAATATAAACGGGAAAAGGCTTGAAAAATTGCGGAAGATATAGCATTATTTGTACCGTTGCGATTTGTTGGCCGTTTTCTTATATAAATAGCGGTAGCTTTCGTACAAATAATCGGAGGGTTGCGATTTAAAGGAACGCTTCCCGGGAACGCTTCGATGAATTTCACGAATTGATTAAACTCCAAAATTAATAATTTCACCAATAATAACGGAGCCGCGCCAAAGTATGAGAGATTCTTTCGCGTTAACGCTTAAATGTGGATTGTCCATTAGCGAAAATATTGCGTAATGCAAAGGTTAACCGGACCTTATGTCTTGCTTGATAATCTTAAACCAGTTTATTATGCCCGGCGCGCGTATATTCGTGTCCGTGTATCCGTGTGTCATTATAAATCGACATTTCACTTCGCGACATGATGTCTGCCTTTTATTACACGTATAAATCTTGCGGAGCCAATTTAGCAACGCATCGTGAAATGCATTGTCTTGAGAATGACGTGCAAAGAATAGGAGTCAAGCAGCTTTACGGCTGAATTGAAATAAAAGATAATATCACGGGTAAACAATGAAGCAGCGTTTGAAATTTTACATACGTGCAATACAATATCGTTTTTAATTAAATTATGCAAAGT